TATTTGTTGCTCTGTATATAGTTTTGAGGAAATATTACGACATAAAGGGTCTTACTCTGTTATTGTTGTGTATTTATTTTACCACTTACAACCATTCTGTATTCAACTTTGTACAGTGAATATCTGTATAACAAGTACTCAGTAAGTAAATGTCTGTCTTAACGATGTTTAAGAGGCATCTTTTCGAAAAATTTGGGTGGCCGTGATAACGGCCGTTTGTGTTTGTTTTAAACTTCTGTCTTGACTGTCAAACTGAATTCTTTAGCCTCCAAATCCGTACAGGGTGCGTCCTTGGCGTTTCAAGGCGTAGACCACGTCCATAGCTGTGACGGTCTTTCTCTTGGCATGCTCCGTGTAGGTTACAGCATCTCGGATCACGTTCTCCAAGAAAACCTTAAGAACTCCACGAGTTTCCTCGTAGATGAGACCGGAAATACGTTTGACACCACCACGGCGAGCAAGACGGCGTATGGCTGGCTTGGTGATACCCTGGATGTTGTCTCTCAAGACTTTTCTGTGTCGCTTAGCGCCTCCTTTTCCAAGACCTTTTCCTCCTTTGCCACGTCCAGACATGTTATAAGTTCAGCCAGTAGTACTGTTCTGATGAACTGATCATGCGTAATTGCCTAATTTATAGTCCAAATTGAGGACCCGTGAGAGCGCACGATGCTTTGAAAAGTTCGGAACGTTACCAAAGCGGTATTGTGACAAGCTTTACGATTGGTCAGCTTGGCATGATGGGAATGTTTACATTTCTTGCCCCACGGGAATTTTAACCACATTTAATTAATTTTGATTCTTTAATTTCTTCACATATAGGCAAGTTTAGGTTCAATTTATTCACCTAAACCAAAATATTGGTACGTGGAGGTACATATATACATTTTATACAAACTGATATACAAAAAAAAAAAAAAAACATGACAGAAAATGAATAAAAATGATAAAGAGAGAGAGGGGAATTATATCAAGCAGGACAGACAGCATCATAATTTTTTAGGATAAACATACACAATTTTTTGTTTTGTTGTTGTTATTTTTTTATTTCAGTATTTTTTGCTTTGAGTTTAACAAAATAAATACCGTTGTTGCCGAATGATAATAAAAACGTGTGTGGGTGGGTGGGTGGGGATTAAGTTATTCAAAGGAAAGGGGTGTGACAGATAACACCGAAATAATACAAAATGTAGAAGCTGAATGAAACTTTTGATTCTCATTCATTTATGATATCTAGTTATAGATGTGATAATTTATTTGATTTCCTCTTTTCTCAGTTAATTTTCAAAGGCAACTTTAAGCAGTGACCAAACCGGCTTTATAAATGAGCCTTTTTCATTTTATTACACGCCACGTTAGAATGAATATCGTTATATTTGACGTTGTTTAGAAATCAATAAAAATCATACTTTGAATATAAATGAAATACGGAATTGCAGTTCTGAAATGCATGTACTCGCATATGTGCATAGCTGTAGAACTAATGAGATAAAGTTGTAATACTGTTATTATTTTTTGCTTCGACACATTCCATCATTTTCTATTTAAATAATTGTGCTATTTTCTAATTTATTTCGCAAAATTCTTGAATGTATTCTAGAGGGGCAGGTTGATGGACTTGTACAAAATATAGTTTCAAGATGTGTAGACAACTTCTACAACTTGATGATGACAATAATACTATGAAATTGTCTAGCATTGTGCTATGTAATTATATATATGTAAGGCACAGATATATTCACTGAAGGATGTACTGTGTCTCAACATTTTTTTTTTTTTTTTTTTTTTTCAATTTGGGGGCATTGTACGCCGAATTTGACAAAATTTATTAATTTCGGCCAAATAATTCAACATTATTTTCAGAGATGTTTCAACGTCTGAACAGAAGGCATCTTTTCGAAGAATGTAGGTGGCCGTGAAAACGGCCGTTTGCTTTAGGACTTGAAATACAGCTTAAAATTAAGCACGCTCTCCACGAATACGTCTGGCCAGCTGGATGTCTTTGGGCATGATGGTTACTCTCTTGGCGTGAATGGCGCACAGGTTGGTGTCCTCAAAGAGACCAACAAGGTAAGCTTCGCTTGCTTCCTGTAAAGCCATGACAGCTGAACTCTGGAAACGCAAGTCGGTCTTAAAATCCTGAGCGATTTCCCGGACCAAGCGCTGGAATGGCAGCTTCCTGATGAGAAGCTCAGTGCTCTTCTGGTATCTCCGAATTTCACGGAGGGCGACAGTTCCTGGCCTGTATCTATGCGGTTTCTTAACGCCACCCGTGGCTGGTGCGCTTTTACGAGCAGCTTTGGTAGCGAGCTGTTTTCTGGGGGCCTTGCCTCCTGTAGATTTTCGTGCCGTCTGCTTGGTACGTGCCATGCTATCTCCTCAGATTATTCAAACTCGAATGAATGAAGTGGCAGTGTTGCACCGTGAACTTATATATCTTTGTAAGCTCAAGTTGAAAATCGCTGCGGTCTACCAGTCGGCTTAGTCGATTGGCTGGTGCCCGCAGTAACACTCGCTACGATTAGTCAGGTGAACGAGATGACCATTGGCTACGTCTGTAGGTAGTTTCAATCCACAGAATTGCCCCAAAAGAAAAAGAAAATCAAGTCGGTTTTTGACACATGATTTCACTGCAGATACATATAGTCAAATATTTTTTTTAAAAATATATATATGGTGAATAATGGGGATGAATGTAACGTCAATTGAATAGAAAATAGAATTATTTATTATATATATACATATATTTTCAATTCGTTATTGAAGCAAAATGCATTTTCGAAAAATATATATTATATATTTCTTGTCATTATTTCCTCCTACCATTATCTGAACAAGCCCAGTAATATTACTAAGTATCATGATACTTGCAGATAATCAGAATGGTGCATATAGGATGAACAGGAATTACCCTGTTGCAAAAACAAGAACAAAACAAATAATACAAATAAATGAATAATTAATTAAATGAATGAATAATTAAATAAATGAATGAATGAATGAATGAATAAATGAAAAGAATAAATAAATGAAAAGAATAAGAATGTATGTATCTGTCTTTCAAAAGGTACGCATGAACTTTTATTCCATTCGTTCCACATTTGATTCCAAATAAAGTGGGGAAAAAAAAAGAAAAAAAGAAAAAGAAAAATAATAATAATAATAATAATAAATAAATAAATAAAATAAATGAATGAATAAAATAAAATAAAATAAAATAAAAAAAATTAATAATAATAATAAAACTTCAACAACAAAAAAAACAACAAAAAACAAAAAAAAAAAAAAAAAACCAAACCAAAACAAAACAAAACAAAACAAAACAAAAAAAAAAAAAAAAAAAAAAAAAAAAAAACATGAAAACAAATATACTAGAATGATAACACTAATAATAATGGCCATATAGTTAGCGTAGGCGTTGTGATGTGGAAAAAGTAAAATTTTATTTACTTGAGGGAGGGTATGTAAACAAATTAAAAACTGACTTTTGTTTCTTCTTCTTCTCAGAAACAGCATGTTAATATTATCATGACTTTGCAATTTGCTTCCAGTCGAAGACAAATAAACTATGTGTAATAGGTAAGTGTACTTCTTGTTTATTCATTTTGTGTTTCCATTAGTACATGTATGTAATAGAGGCATCTTTTCTAAAAATGTTGGTAGCCCTGAAAAGGGCTTTTGTAATTGGTTTAAGACAATTGGCAGTCTACGCCTTGGTGGCTTTCTTTGGGGTTTTTGACTTCTTGGCTGTGGCTTTCTTGGGCGCTTTGGTTTTCGTAGGCTTTGGAGCTGCCTTGGCTTTCTTGGGAGACTTAGTAGCTGCTTTCTTCTTGGGAGACTTGGCCTTCTTGGGTGCTGCAGGTTTCTTAACAGCCTTTTTCTTTTCTGTTGGCTTTTTCTCCCCGGTTGTCTTCTTGGGTTTGGTCGTTTTCTTGGGCTTGGCAGCCTTAGGTTTGGTGACTTTTTTGGTCTTGGGTTTCTTCTCCGTCTTGGGCTTCTCTCCCAGCTTGAAGGAACCACTGGCACCTGTACCCTTGGCCTGTTTGAGAACTCCCTTCTTGACTCCGTTCTTGAGGGCCATCTTCAGATGGGTGTTGACACTAGAGGCGTCATTACCGACTTTGTAGTTGCCCATGATGTACTTGAGAATAGCTTGTCTCGAGGAACCTCCGCGCTCCTTCAGGGCAGCCACAGCAGCGCTGATCATCTCGATGTACTTGGGATGGGCGGGGACCGTCTTGGGTTTGGAAACCTTCTTCTTGGCGGGGGATTTTGCTGGTGCGGCGTCTGCCATAATTTTTTTGTCCTGTTTTCTACAACTGATGTGAACGACGTTATCGACGATAAGGAAATGAATGAAATCACCTCCGCCGATGGCCTTATTTGAGTGGCGGCGAGCGCGGACCTCCGTGAAAACTCCCCAATTGTCGAGAGCGTAGAGGATTGAACTCGTCAAACTTTGTGTTTCAATACCTGTTATTTTTCCGATTTTGTCCTCCCAATTTTACTTAATTTTCTCAAATATGTCACTGTGCGTTTTCTTGAAATAATTTCCTACATAACTGTTTTTGTTTAAGGTTCTTAATCTGTCATTTTAAAGGAGGAATTGTCTGTTGATTCTGAAAATGCGCTGTTCCCTGGAGCCCAGAAGCGACTAATTTTGATTAAAACACGAAAACAAGAGGAATAGAACACGAGTAAGGGATTGAAGTACTTACTACATTGCTATGTGATAAAACATACATGTACATTTCTTTCAATTGTCTTCTATGTTACTTAAAATCCGAATGAAAATGCAAACATTCGGCACAAACACGCGCACAATGGATAGTGATGTGTGCCTTGCATTTCATATGAAATGGAGAGAGAGAGAAAAAAAAACAATCAAACAAAAGGGTCATATGAAGGGAAATCACGGAATCTCACAAATTGTTGAATGTTCAAATATATATCTAATATACTTTCTAGATCAGTGGATGTTCACCCCCTTAAAGGGACAACATATAATTTCTTTTCGAATATTTAAATACATGACACCTACTTTATAATTATAACACCGAGGACACCGGAAAGATCCAGACCGTACGTAACGTACCACATTCGGTGGTACAACGTCTGAATTTCTCAGTATAATTATATCATAAGAATATACATAACTGACATCCTTGTAAATTACATGAAAAAAAAAAATCACATAAAAAGGGCGTGTATTTAATAATTGTAGAACACTCACTTAATTAGTAGTTATACATAAGAGAGAGACAGAGAGAGACGAACAAGGCGAATAATGGGAGTAGCTTATTCATTGATATTAATTTGTTTCTTGTAATTTACACACACAAATAATTGAGTACATGTAAATAAACAGAATGTGGTCAAAAGCCAATGTATTTAAAATCTATATCTTTCAAGTTGAACAAGACAACCAGTATATAATACAAGACAATACAATACATTGATAGAAGCATCAAATTGGTTGCACACTTTCCACGTGCAGATCATGATTCCCTGCATCTATATGTCACGTGACGATGCAGATGTGCTGCACGGCGCAGTGATGGACATCGCAATAAATGTAAAGTGTTGAAAAAAATGTCGTTTAGTCATTCGCATCGGTAGTCTATTCGAAAGAAAATTTACTACCAGTTTTTAATTGTGTTAGTACTGTAAGTATCCGGAAACTGGCATCGAGTTGCTTTTATTCACTCTTATTATGGGAAGCACACTTTTTTGAATAAGAACATTCAAGACATAATATAAACCACATCTTCTTATTCTTATGAGATTCTTATATTCATAACTTTTATCTATTTTTATCAATTAGGAATTTTGTCTAAATAATCATCATATAAAACAATAGCGAGGGGGAAAAAAAAAGAAACATTAAGGATTTAACTGGAGTTACAGATCTTTTGAATATGTTAATAAAATAATGATCATATTTAAAAATATTTGTATCAAAGGAAAAAAATTGAAAGTTAGATCGCCATGTTAGATGATTTTCGCAGTTTCTAGTCTTAATTGGTCAATGAAATGGGTTTTTTTTTTTCTTATCTCTTTGTTGAGTGAGCATTCAAGTAATACGTGAGAATTCAACATTTGTACGCAGGCCTATAAGGTTTGGATTCAACTGCCTATAACGAGAAAGAAAAAAACGTACATATACGAATATACATGCGAGTCAATTTTAAAATTTATTGCTTTTGTTATTAACTTAATACATTTATTTATCATTAAATATATAACACTTTCTTTGATGTTTGATCTCTGTTCTGTGTTGAAAATTATTGAATTCGTGTGTTTCTATTATTTTCTAGCTATAATAATTGTTTACGTTTCAACTCGTTTGTAATGTAGGTATCTTTTCGAAAAGCTTATGTGGCCGTGAAAACGGCCGTTTGGTTTTGTGCTGCACACAACACAACTATAGGATCTTTTTACTTGGCGGCTTTCTGTGTCTTTTTGGGAAGGAGCACCGCTTGGATGTTGGGCAGGACACCACCCTGCGCGATGGTCACGCCGGACAGGAGTTTGTTCAATTCTTCGTCGTTGCGGATGGCCAGCTGCAGATGACGGGGAATGATTCTGGTCTTTTTGTTGTCGCGGGCAGCGTTGCCTGCCAACTCCAAGACTTCTGCGGCCAAGTACTCAAGAACGGCAGCCAAGTACACGGGAGCGCCTGCTCCCACTCTCTCGGCGTAGTTGCCCTTTCTCAGCAGACGGTGAATACGACCCACGGGGAACTGCAGTCCGGCGCGGGAAGAACGGCTCTTGGCCTTCCCCTTCACTTTGCCTCCTTTGCCACGTCCAGACATTCTTAACGGTTATGTTCTTTCGTGTACAGTCAACGAATAATCCAGCGACGCCCGCACGCACCAATTTAAACAGCCAAGCGGATCCAACGGTGCAGCCAATTAACGCGTCGCTCTGTTGTGCCTTTAGGTGAAATCCGAACAAGTAATGTTTTCTCGGAGGTCCGTAACAAGCTTCTCCTCCTACTCGCATATAAATAGTAAATTTTACCATTTTACTTTATTCATCTCTTCAGTTTGACCTGTCAACTTGAGATCATGCCACCCAAAGTCGGATCCAAAGGCGCCAAGAAAGCAGTCACCAAGGCCAAGACACCGAGGAGCACAGACAAGAAAAGGAGGAAGAGGAGGAGGGAATCTTATGCCATTTACATCTACAAAGTCCTAAAGCAGGTGCACCCTGACACTGGTGTTTCCAGCAAGGCCATGAGCATAATGAACTCCTTCGTCAACGATATCTTTGAGAGAATCGCTGCCGAAGCCTCTCGTTTGGCCCACTACAACAAGCGATCTACAATCACAAGCAGAGAGGTCCAGACTGCTGTCCGTCTCCTTCTGCCCGGTGAACTGGCCAAGCACGCCGTATCTGAGGGCACCAAAGCCGTCACCAAGTACACCAGCAGCAAATAATCTCATTTTGCAAGTACACACACCAAACGGCCCTTTTAAGGGCCAACTAATTTTTAAGAAAAGATACCTTCATATTACATGCGTTATTGAGACACAAATAATATGTGTGAGTGTTACAATGTGAATGCATGTGCTCGTAAAAGTGGCAAACGTATAAAAATCCCACATTGTTTACAACTGATTATAATAACAGAAGTAGGATAAATAAAGAAATACAAGTAGGTATTATTATATGTATGAGAGCCAAATTTTATTCACAAATAACTTGAATGTACAACCAAGCATATATCTAAAATAACTGTATCTTCAAATATAAATAAAATACAAGCATGCGAGGTCCATCTGATGTACACAAAATCCTGGTTCATTTGTCCTCTGTATACTGAATTAATTATCAGCGTACATTATATAATTGATAATAAAGTATCTCAATTCAGCTAATATCAATGAAACAGATAAATAAATTCAAGACCCCCCCCCCTCCCCTTTCTTTGACATTGACATATTGGAATTTTCAATCAGTAATTATACATCAATAAAAGTGCAATGACCAAAATGCGATAATTATACATTGACAATTAATTGTCTAACATTAGTCATAATTGTTAAACAAGAAAAAAAAAGCATGTCACTCAGCGCCAGTTGGTACCTGTCATTGTCGGTAGATCGATCCCTCAAAATAATACTCAAGACAGCAGCATTATTATTTTAATATATGATTATAATAATAAAAAAAATTAAATAATATATACTGTTTGTGTGTGTTTATTCAATATTTCTTGTCCAAACCTAAATTCAATACATATTTGTTGCTCTGTATATAGTTTTGAGGAAATATTACGACATAAAGGGTCTTACTCTGTTATTGTTGTGTATTTATTTTACCACTTACAACCATTCTGTATTCAACTTTGTACAGTGAATATCTGTATAACAAGTACTCAGTAAGTAAATGTCTGTCTTAACGATGTTTAAGAGGCATCTTTTCGAAAAATTTGGGTGGCCGTGATAACGGCCGTTTGTGTTTGTTTTAAACTTCTGTCTTGACTGTCAAACTGAATTCTTTAGCCTCCAAATCCGTACAGGGTGCGTCCTTGGCGTTTCAAGGCGTAGACCACGTCCATAGCTGTGACGGTCTTTCTCTTGGCATGCTCCGTGTAGGTTACAGCATCTCGGATCACGTTCTCCAAGAAAACCTTAAGAACTCCACGAGTTTCCTCGTAGATGAGACCGGAAATACGTTTGACACCACCACGGCGAGCAAGACGGCGTATGGCTGGCTTGGTGATACCCTGGATGTTGTCTCTCAAGACTTTTCTGTGTCGCTTAGCGCCTCCTTTTCCAAGACCTTTTCCTCCTTTGCCACGTCCAGACATGTTATAAGTTCAGCCAGTAGTACTGTTCTGATGAACTGATCATGCGTAATTGCCTAATTTATAGTCCAAATTGAGGACCCGTGAGAGCGCACGATGCTTTGAAAAGTTCGGAACGTTACCAAAGCGGTATTGTGACAAGCTTTACGATTGGTCAGCTTGGCATGATGGGAATGTTTACATTTCTTGCCCCACGGGAATTTTAACCACATTTAATTAATTTTGATTCTTTAATTTCTTCACATATAGGCAAGTTTAGGTTCAATTTATTCACCTAAACCAAAATATTGGTACGTGGAGGTACATATATACATTTTATACAAACTGATATACAAAAAAAAAAAAAAAACATGACAGAAAATGAATAAAAATGATAAAGAGAGAGAGGGGAATTATATCAAGCAGGACAGACAGCATCATAATTTTTTAGGATAAACATACACAATTTTTTGTTTTGTTGTTGTTATTTTTTTATTTCAGTATTTTTTGCTTTGAGTTTAACAAAATAAATACCGTTGTTGCCGAATGATAATAAAAACGTGTGTGGGTGGGTGGGTGGGGATTAAGTTATTCAAAGGAAAGGGGTGTGACAGATAACACCGAAATAATACAAAATGTAGAAGCTGAATGAAACTTTTGATTCTCATTCATTTATGATATCTAGTTATAGATGTGATAATTTATTTGATTTCCTCTTTTCTCAGTTAATTTTCAAAGGCAACTTTAAGCAGTGACCAAACCGGCTTTATAAATGAGCCTTTTTCATTTTATTACACGCCACGTTAGAATGAATATCGTTATATTTGACGTTGTTTAGAAATCAATAAAAATCATACTTTGAATATAAATGAAATACGGAATTGCAGTTCTGAAATGCATGTACTCGCATATGTGCATAGCTGTAGAACTAATGAGATAAAGTTGTAATACTGTTATTATTTTTTGCTTCGACACATTCCATCATTTTCTATTTAAATAATTGTGCTATTTTCTAATTTATTTCGCAAAATTCTTGAATGTATTCTAGAGGGGCAGGTTGATGGACTTGTACAAAATATAGTTTCAAGATGTGTAGACAACTTCTACAACTTGATGATGACAATAATACTATGAAATTGTCTAGCATTGTGCTATGTAATTATATATATGTAAGGCACAGATATATTCACTGAAGGATGTACTGTGTCTCAACATTTTTTTTTTTTTTTTTTTTTTTCAATTTGGGGGCATTGTACGCCGAATTTGACAAAATTTATTAATTTCGGCCAAATAATTCAACATTATTTTCAGAGATGTTTCAACGTCTGAACAGAAGGCATCTTTTCGAAGAATGTAGGTGGCCGTGAAAACGGCCGTTTGCTTTAGGACTTGAAATACAGCTTAAAATTAAGCACGCTCTCCACGAATACGTCTGGCCAGCTGGATGTCTTTGGGCATGATGGTTACTCTCTTGGCGTGAATGGCGCACAGGTTGGTGTCCTCAAAGAGACCAACAAGGTAAGCTTCGCTTGCTTCCTGTAAAGCCATGACAGCTGAACTCTGGAAACGCAAGTCGGTCTTAAAATCCTGAGCGATTTCCCGGACCAAGCGCTGGAATGGCAGCTTCCTGATGAGAAGCTCAGTGCTCTTCTGGTATCTCCGAATTTCACGGAGGGCGACAGTTCCTGGCCTGTATCTATGCGGTTTCTTAACGCCACCCGTGGCTGGTGCGCTTTTACGAGCAGCTTTGGTAGCGAGCTGTTTTCTGGGGGCCTTGCCTCCTGTAGATTTTCGTGCCGTCTGCTTGGTACGTGCCATGCTATCTCCTCAGATTATTCAAACTCGAATGAATGAAGTGGCAGTGTTGCACCGTGAACTTATATATCTTTGTAAGCTCAAGTTGAAAATCGCTGCGGTCTACCAGTCGGCTTAGTCGATTGGCTGGTGCCCGCAGTAACACTCGCTACGATTAGTCAGGTGAACGAGATGACCATTGGCTACGTCTGTAGGTAGTTTCAATCCACAGAATTGCCCCAAAAGAAAAAGAAAATCAAGTCGGTTTTTGACACATGATTTCACTGCAGATACATATAGTCAAATATTTTTTTTAAAAATATATATATGGTGAATAATGGGGATGAATGTAACGTCAATTGAATAGAAAATAGAATTATTTATTATATATATACATATATTTTCAATTCGTTATTGAAGCAAAATGCATTTTCGAAAAATATATATTATATATTTCTTGTCATTATTTCCTCCTACCATTATCTGAACAAGCCCAGTAATATTACTAAGTATCATGATACTTGCAGATAATCAGAATGGTGCATATAGGATGAACAGGAATTACCCTGTTGCAAAAACAAGAACAAAACAAATAATACAAATAAATGAATAATTAATTAAATGAATGAATAATTAAATAAATGAATGAATGAATGAATGAATAAATGAAAAGAATAAATAAATGAAAAGAATAAGAATGTATGTATCTGTCTTTCAAAAGGTACGCATGAACTTTTATTCCATTCGTTCCACATTTGATTCCAAATAAAGTGGGGAAAAAAAAAGAAAAAAAGAAAAAGAAAAATAATAATAATAATAATAATAAATAAATAAATAAAATAAATGAATGAATAAAATAAAATAAAATAAAATAAAAAAAATTAATAATAATAATAAAACTTCAACAACAAAAAAAACAACAAAAAACAAAAAAAAAAAAAAAAAACCAAACCAAAACAAAACAAAACAAAACAAAACAAAAAAAAAAAAAAAAAAAAAAAAAAAAAAACATGAAAACAAATATACTAGAATGATAACACTAATAATAATGGCCATATAGTTAGCGTAGGCGTTGTGATGTGGAAAAAGTAAAATTTTATTTACTTGAGGGAGGGTATGTAAACAAATTAAAAACTGACTTTTGTTTCTTCTTCTTCTCAGAAACAGCATGTTAATATTATCATGACTTTGCAATTTGCTTCCAGTCGAAGACAAATAAACTATGTGTAATAGGTAAGTGTACTTCTTGTTTATTCATTTTGTGTTTCCATTAGTACATGTATGTAATAGAGGCATCTTTTCTAAAAATGTTGGTAGCCCTGAAAAGGGCTTTTGTAATTGGTTTAAGACAATTGGCAGTCTACGCCTTGGTGGCTTTCTTTGGGGTTTTTGACTTCTTGGCTGTGGCTTTCTTGGGCGCTTTGGTTTTCGTAGGCTTTGGAGCTGCCTTGGCTTTCTTGGGAGACTTAGTAGCTGCTTTCTTCTTGGGAGACTTGGCCTTCTTGGGTGCTGCAGGTTTCTTAACAGCCTTTTTCTTTTCTGTTGGCTTTTTCTCCCCGGTTGTCTTCTTGGGTTTGGTCGTTTTCTTGGGCTTGGCAGCCTTAGGTTTGGTGACTTTTTTGGTCTTGGGTTTCTTCTCCGTCTTGGGCTTCTCTCCCAGCTTGAAGGAACCACTGGCACCTGTACCCTTGGCCTGTTTGAGAACTCCCTTCTTGACTCCGTTCTTGAGGGCCATCTTCAGATGGGTGTTGACACTAGAGGCGTCATTACCGACTTTGTAGTTGCCCATGATGTACTTGAGAATAGCTTGTCTCGAGGAACCTCCGCGCTCCTTCAGGGCAGCCACAGCAGCGC